GTTGTTGTTGTTGTTGTTGTTGTTGTTGTTGTTGTTGTTGTTGTTGTTGTTGTTGTTGTTGTTGTTGTTGTTGTTGTTGTTGTTGTTGTTGTTGTTGTTGTTGTTGTTGTTGTTGTTGTTGTTGTTGTTGTTGTTGTTGTTGTTGTTGTTGTTGTTGTTGTTGTTGTTGTTGTTGTTGTTGTTGTTGTTGTTGTTGTTGTTGTTGTTGTTGTTGTTGCCCACCAGTATCCTTCAGCCTCAGCCCCTGCCCAAGCAGCTCTCCAGCACCGCCCAGAGTCGCAATCTTAAGTGTGTTTAGAGAATCATTCGCGAGCTTGTTAGCCGCCATCACCGCCCCTTCCACCGTAGCCACTGTAGCCGCAGAACTCTCCGGCGCAAACTGCGACCCAACAAAGATCAACAGCACGAGGAAGATGACGCCTGAAGTCAGCACCCAGAATGCCTTGAGCCGTCTGCGTGTGCGCTCCTGCCATTCACGGTCAGCGCGCTCCCAGCTCTCGATCCGCTCGCGTACCAGGTCCACCCGCTCGCTGAGGGACTTGATACGGTCACGGCCAGCGTATACACGGTCCTGCAGTTGCTCGATGCGCTTCTGGTGATCCTCGAACTGACCAAAGGCGTCAAGCTGCAAGCTGACGTCGGTGACGAGCTCGTTGGCTTCCGTGGTGAAATGAGAGGTCATGTCTTGGGAGGCGACGGCTACCTCCTTGAGCGCGAGGATGGTGTTCTGGAGGACGCAGAGCTTCTCGAGAACGGAGTAGTATGTGTCGTCGAGCTGGCGGGTTGTATTGTTTGAGAATTGTTCGAGATCCTCGAGAGACTTTTTCAGGCCCCTGCACAAGTTGGATTCATCGTCAGCTTGCAAGCCCATGCAAGAAATGTCGAGAGGTTGAGGGGCCAAGCAGGGGCACTGGGGTGTCTTCGACAAACCTTTCCCGCGCGATAGCCCTTTGGCGCTCCTTTGCGATTTCATCTTCATTTAGCAGGACCCTACCTCCTGATACATTACTCGCAAGTGCCGCGGTGGCTACCGAAGGGACGCTGTCATCGGCGGATGGGCTCGCATTGAGAATGCTGGCTCTTCTGCTCGCATTGGGAGTCAGGTTGTTCGGCGTCGACATGCCGAAGCCTTCAAAAGAGAAGCGGCCTCGACCGGTGGACTGCAATGTCGGGTTCGCACTCTGTACGTCGATGTTTAATCCATCGCGCTCCTTCCCCTTTTCGCGTTCCCTTTCTCGGCCCCTGGATTTGTCCTTGTCCTTGTGCTTTTCTTTGTCTTTCTCTTTCTCCTTCCCGAGGCGGTCGCGGTTTGATCGATGACGATGCAGATGGAGCGAAGACGGCAATTCGGTGATGGAGCGAGTGATTTGGTGTCGCTGACGATGTGGAGAGTGGGATCCTCCTTTGAGCCCTTCGACTCCATTCGGGGCGTTCGGAAACATGACGGCACTCGAGCGGCTTTGCTTTTCTTTATCGCGCTTTATCTGGTGATTCCGAGACATACGAAAGTGTAATGATGCGTAAATAACGCCAGATTAGAGTACCTCTACGGGTAGGCAAAAAGTGGAGGTGTAAGCCAGGATGCAAGGTCGACTGGGCCACTGACGTTGCGACGACTCACAGAGGTGCATCGCGGCGGGGACGCGGCGCAGGGGACCAATGGCACTCACTGCCCGGTGACGGGAAGCCGGCTGCCTTAACGATCCTTTGGCGGAACCTATCCAGCCTGTGCAGGGGTTGCTTCACTGGACATGTGAACTGAAGCAAAATAACCACAACCACAGTTTGTCACGAGAAGAGAATCACATGGAAGATGGGTTTCAAGTGGCTGCAAAGCCATCAAAAATGGTAATGGTAAGCTTTTTGTTATGTTCCGTGTAAGAATTGCTTGGGGTATCAGAATATTGCTGTGGTCCCTTATCACCCGCAGTACGTGGTCGTTGATGTACGCCTTTCTTTTTTTTGGCGTCGTCTTTCCGGGTTGTTTCTCATCCATCCGCCCTGTCCGCTGAGCTCTTCCTGACAAACCACGGCCTTCCGTGGCTGCTGCGAACTTCCAACTCCAATTATGCCATGCCATTATAAACACTCCTCCAAAATAAAGTAACGCCGCTACCATCATATTCGCCGAGGAAGACGCCGCGCTGCGAAGGGGGTTTGGCTTTCGTCTTTCGGGCGTTGGTAGAACGGCGAAGCCGGTGATTCGGTTCGGTACCCATCGTTGGACGGAAAGGAGTGAGACGTGGTGTTCCGCATGTCCTGAGTGTCGTTCACAGCCTCTTCGTTCAAGAGTTGATAAGCTTGTTGCGCTTCTCCTTGCGCTTGAGTCTCTCCACCCTCTTCTTGTGCATCTTCTCGGCCATCTTATCGTAACGTTCCTTCTCCTCCTTCTTCGCCCGCTTCTCCTTAAGGGCTTCGATGCGTCTCTGTGTGGAAATGATGGATCAGCTCCTGGCATCTTGTCTCCCGGATTCGCATTTGCACCAACCTTGCGCTCAGCCTCCTTCTCATCCTTAAGCTCCTTCTCCTTAGCCTTGACGGCCGCAAGCAACTGCCTCTCCTTTGCGCGTTTCTCATACGATGTCAACCCGGAGCCGGGACGGAAGGCCTTTTTGGGGGCGTGCCATTGCTTTCCTGTAGGATAATGGCAATTAGTACTTTATTCGACCTAGGATGGTAGAACGTAACGGACAAAGACTTACCATTGACCCTCATGCCAAGGGGCTTGGAAACCGCCTTGGTCTCCACCTGAGACGTTGTTTGTGTTGTTGTGGTAGTAGAGGACATTGTTGCGAATCGTTAAAGTCGACCAGCAATCCGTGCATTGGCTGGGTTCGATGCAGAGCGTTGTGACGGCGATGCCAGATGCAGAACTACCAAAGGCGGTCAGTAAATGCGGTCGCACTCGAGCAGAAAAATTTGGACGGCAGAATTGGTTATCGGGCCTGTCGTTGCAACGTTATCGCTGAGCGGGTCGTAGTATGGAGAACAGGCGTTAAAACTGCGGGGCGGACCCTCGTCACCCTTGCTTCCGGCATCGATGTGCCTGGTCTCATGTTGATGGTGACTGACGTTTGATCCCAGGGTCTGCCCCGCAGTGATAAGATAAAGTGACTCAGTCGACTGTTTGACGCTGTGGGAGACACTAATAAAAAGCCTCGAGTTGCCGCCCGATATCGCCTTTGTCTCTCTTACAAGATCAAGTTCAGGAACTGTAACTGTCGAGAGAAGCCATCCTCCGCAAGCACCAATCCGCCAAAATGTCCGAGTCCAAGGGCCGCGTCTGTCTGTAAGTAACACCCAGAGGAGGTCGAATAACGTCTGGTGATTCCACTTGTGGCACAGGCTATTCTGGAGCTTTGACGCCTGACTGACAGTCCCTCCCGTTCATAGCGCCTATTCCGGAGGTACGATCCTGGAGCTACACAACACAAGAGATCCGCCTGCCTACGAATGCAGTTGCTTACCAATTGATCACCGTATACAGGTCTCGATACTTCCGTGAGTCCTCCTGAAGCTTCCCTTTGATCTTATAGAGCGCATTGACTGACATCTGTGACTGCAGACCATCCTCTGCTGGTTGATTGAGCAGGTAGAGAAAACCAACCAACCCCCGCGCTCCCCTCCCGAGCTGTAATATTAACTCGAGTGACTCGACAGGGCTACACCGTCGTCTGCTTCCTCGCCAATGTCGGCCAGGAGGAGAACTGGGATGAGGTCCGCGCCAAGGCCAAGAAGCTCGGTGCTGAGGAGATGGTGATCCTCGACCTCCAGCAGGAGTTCGTTGACCAGATCGTCTTCCGTGCCATCCAGTGCAATGCCATCTATGAGGACCGCTACCTCCTCGGCACCTCCCTCGCCCGCCCCATCATTGCCCGTGCCCAGGTCCGCGTTGCCGAGCAATACAACTGCGAGTTCGTCTCCCACGGCTGCACTGGCAAGGGCAACGACCAGGTCCGCTTCGAGCTTGCCTTCAAGTATGTTGATTCCCTCCTCTTTAGCCTCATCCGACACACAAACACTAACGTGACACCAGGGCCTGCAACCCCGAGATCAAGGTCATTGCTCCCTGGAGACTTCCCGAGTTCTGTGCTCGCTTCCAGGGTCGTCAGGATCTCCTGAAGTACGCCGCCGACAAGAACATCCCCGTCTCCTCGACCCCCAAGGCCCCTTGGTCCATGGATGACAACCTTGTCCACTGCAGTTACGAGGCTGGCATTCTTGAGGATCCCAACCACACTCCCCCCAAGGAGCTCTGGACCCGCACTGTTGACCCCCAGGACGCCCCCAACACTCCCCAGGAGTTCACCATCGTCTTCGAGAAGGGTATCCCCGTCAAGGTCATTGTCGATGGCAAGGAGACCACTGGCTCTGTTGAGCTCTTCAAGCTCCTCAACAAGATTGGTCACGACCACGGTGTTGGCCGTGTCGATATCGTTGAGAACCGCTTCATCGGTCTCAAGTCCCGTGGCTGCTACGATACTCCCGGCCTCACCATTGCTCGCCTTGCCCATCTTGATCTTGGTTCGTGTTCCTCGTGTCTGACCTGGTCTGGGTGAATTGACTGCTAATATGGGTTCTACAGAGGGTCTTGTTATGGACTCTAGGGTCCGTGAGCTCCGTGATCAGTTTGTCACCATCTCCTGGTCTCGTCAGCTGTACAACGGCATGTACTTCAGCCCTGAGCGCGAGTTGTAAGTTGTTTCCCCACCCAAACTGAAAACAGATGAGCAATCACCAACCATCATCCCCCTACAGCGTCGAGAACTCCATCATCTTCTCCCAGCAGAACGTTACTGGTGAGGTCCGCATGATGGCCTACAAGGGTAACGCCTACGTCCTCGGCCGCAAGTCCGATGCCAGCAACCTCTACTCCGAGGCCGATGCCTCCATGGACTCCCTCGAGGGCTTCTCCCCCATGGACACCACCGGTTTCATCGAGATCAACGCCATCCGCCTCAAGAAGTACGGTCTTCAGAAGATTAAGGACGGCAAGCCCCTCACCCAGTCTTGAATGTCGACAGGCAAGTCGGATACAAAGATCATAATCGGTGAAAAGGGACGACTGGAGGTTTCTTTGCGCACGTCGCCCCGGGCAGATGGCCAGCCTCACTCGACACATAAAGCTAGCCATGTCCAATCCGCTTCTTGAATATGAAGCAATGATAGAAGGAATAGGCGCTTGAGAGTGGAGGATTGCCTTGGGGCATAAAAATATATGGTACATATAGACAGACGGCTCAAAATGAAAACACCTCATCCCTGCTGCATTGCTTCACCGAACTCAAGACGATTTCTTACCTGGTAATGATTACATAAACCCTATCAAGCGTAATGTCCAATATTAAACTCCGTTGCTTGCGACACACGAGGAAGAACGATGTCCACAACATGGCGAAGGATCTAATTTGACCTTGAAAGCCGTACAGTTTCCATAGAATGGGCGATACTTTCACCCGACGATGGTCTCACCCAAGCAATGAGGCCTCCTCCACATCATCCGCACCCTCCCGTGTAGTGTAAGCGAAGCACTGAAGATCGATCGGAGCATCGATAATAAAGTCTCTCCGCTTTTTGACCCTATTCCATTTTAAGACTTTTCTTGTTGTGCCAAGAGCAAGTCAACCGCCATGCCCACATCTCATCGCCGCGCCCTGCCCTGCGAAGAAGGGCGTTTAAGTTTCGGCGGACAGGGCTGAAATAGGCAAAGAGAGGAACAAGGATCAAGCGAGTGGACCCAACATCCCAACAACCAAACAGAAAACCGAATGAATCTTGAATGAACCAACCAGTATCTCATCTTCCCTAGTGATTGGGAGATTGAGCAAGATTGGGAATGTCGTCATTGTCAGCCTTGAGATTTGGAGCATCCGATAGGAGGAAGAGAGATGGCCTAACTACACATACTGTGAGAACGTGGGAGGGAGCTGAATGACCGTAAAATCCGGGGAAATGTTTCATGGTTTCAGATCAGAACAAAGAGATGGCAAGGATCAAAAGTCCCGTTTTGCCCTGGATGGAAGCGTTCGAATTGGGGTTTAGCCGGAGCGGGATGAGGATCACCTTTCCTCGGTGTGTCTTTTTATGCACATTTTATGAAAGCCAAACAAGTCCTGACACCAGCTACATCCAGGGTATATGTAAGGAGTTTGGCACAGCCGCAATCAACATGCTCGCTCCGAGGACGTCTTTTACGCTTGATGAAACGATGTCGATTATTTCGTGTTTGCACTGTTCAGGGGCCGGCCGGCTTGGTCGGCTTTTCATCGTTGTTGGATTCGCAGTGGTTGACGATTATCTGCCAGATACAGATACGACATCTTCTACTTGCACAATACTACTCGTCAGGACTAGAATCGTCCCTTGCGCATGGGCTCAGAGATATATTTTTAGTCTCGAAGAAACACATGGAAGTACCCATCCTCCTACCTCCCTCGATTTG